AACAAGCAGAAATGTGGACTCTTCTGACACAGCACATATTTTCACTGTGTTTTGGATCATCTGAGATGAGCTCGCCGGTATTTCTGCATTGAACTGATGTATAGCTTTCACCTTGTGTAAAAGAGATTCGAGTGGCATCTCTTGATGCAGCGGCAGATTGTGTTCAGTGACAAAGGTTTTCCAAAGTACTCCCGAGCCCATGTGGCTGTATTTAACACAGTAGCATGACGGTGCCATCTGAGGGTCAAAGGTCACACACATTCAACAGAGGTTTCCTGCCTTGCCCTACATGCACTGAGCTTTTTCTGGATTCCCTGTATCTTTTCACAACATTGTTTATGGTAGACGGTGAAAGACCTTAAAGGGGTCATATAATGCCATTTTTGTACAAGTTAATATGAATGCTTAGGGTCAAAATGAAAACTTTGTAATATACTTTTATAAAAAATTCTCATTAGTATTTTAAGAAAACACTAATTTTACCTGGTCAAAAACAGCTCTGTTTTCAGCACGCCGTTTAAAGCTGCAGTAGGGAGTTTTGAGAAAACGTTGACTTAGCCTGAAAATTTGAACAAGCACAACTTCCAGGTCCCACCCCCTTGCTCTCTGCTGCGCTACAGCCCTCCCTCCACAGCTCGTCCTCCACAGCGGAGCCCGTCGTGAACGCGCAGGCTAGTAAACAGGCCCACCGATAACAGCGGATAAGAAGTTATATGGCACATTCACTAATAGGGACTAAACGTCAACAATATGCTTTACATTGACTATGGCCTGCCCATACTTTGACTACAAACTTGGTCCTCAAATCATTATGTATTTTGCAATAGCCTACATGTAACTTTGTAACGTTGCACTCTTTCTATAAGTTATAAATAGCTAGTAAGATAACGTTAATATAACGGTAACTAACTTTACAGTATGTAAGTAATTATTCTAGCGATATATAATGCTAGATAAGGTGTGCTAGTACATTATTTCAGCAACATGACAAGCCAGTGAATTAGCAGGTTTCAATTGTTGCTTAGCAGAGTGCGTGACATTTTATCTACATGTTATGCGGCTAGAGTTTTGACACCGAGTCAATGGGCTCTGTGTAATTCTTTCTTTTTTGCTTGTTTATCGTCATCGGTCTTTTTCCTTTTACCTCTTTGTTTTATGAGCAGGTGTTACTCGAGAATTGGCAGTTTAGGTTGTTTCTCCGTCATAAGCACAGCTGCAGCACGCCGGCAATCTTGAGTTTGAACGACGGCTGCGCTGTGTAAGAGAGGGGTGTGATCAGCGCATACACGAGCGTGATTGACACTGCTAAGACAATCCTCCTGGCTCTGATTGGTTGTTTCTGACCAGGAGCGTGTATTTCTGCAAATGGCAATAGGACCACTAGGAGGAGCCAGAAGAGCTTGATTTTTTTTACAGATTATCTGTCTCATATTCTACTGTCAGGACATAATGACAGTTTTAACAAATATGTAAAAAAATATTTTTTTTACAAAAGTTACCTACAGCAGCTTTAAGTGCATGTGTCTTTAAATGATAATGAGCTTCGCTCACTCCGCCCCTTCTGTTCTGCGGGCGTTTTGATATACAACTCACGTGGAGTGTTGCCTTGACAACAGTTGAGGGTATATTTTGGAGAAAGAATGACAGCGGGAGTCTCTGAGGACACATCTGTGCAACCGTATCAGTTTGAACCGGAGTCGGACCCGGAACAAGATGACGGCCGCAAAGATCGACACAAAGTTCGACAATTAAGGCTCGAACAGGACGTTTCTGAATGGTTGGTTAACGTAATGTCACTTTGATTTATCTTTGTATGTTCTAGCAGGGTAGAGTAATGAGATATGAACGCTATGTGTTTACTGATGTATACGTTAGTTCATTGACAGATTGACGTTACAACTAATGACGTTACAACTAATGGTCATAAAAAACTTTTTTTCGCGATTTGCAAAGATTAATATAAAGGTTAATAAAACTTTACACTCACTTCTTCTGGAGGTGCAGAGGGAACATAAATAGTTGGTACCGATTCTTTTTTCAGGAGCAGCTTCTTAGCAAAACCAGCTTTATACTGACCCTCCTTTATAAAGCAGTCTGGTGAGAAATGATTCGCGCAAACATGAAAGCATTGACGTTGATCGTGGGGAATATTCCCTTCGAAAACAAAACTCAGCCACTGCGTCTTCAGCGGTTCGGATTTAGGAACATTAAAATGACTCTGTGTTCATTATTACACCCAAGAACAGAACACCACAATCGCTTGGACGCCATTCTGCTCCAGCTTATCAACAATGACGGACTATGATGACAGCTCGCTCAGGGCTGGGCTGTGTTGAATCACTGCTGTCAATCAACAATCGTGGGAGGGGCGTCCGTTTTCTTGACGTCACAAAAACGAACGGCTCAATTTGAGGCAGGGGAAACATATAAGGAGATTAAAACAAAAACACTGGATGGATTTTTATCATTATATGATGGTTGTGTACAGACACTGCCAACACACATTTCAGTACAATCAACTTGTAAAAGTGCATGTACCATTATATGACCCCTTTAATACTTTGCAATCTTGCATTGAGAAATGTGTTTGTTTTATTCTTTGACAATTCTCTCATGAAATTTGGCACAAAGTTGTGAGCCATGACCCATCTTTGTTGGAAAACACAGAGCCTTTGGTGGATGCTCCTTTTATACCCAAAAATGTATTACCAGTTAACCTGCTAATTGTGAACACTATTTCAAAACAGTTTAACTTGGATATTCTGCAATCTTTTCACTTTTATTTTGCCTCTGTGCCAATTTTTTTGGAGTGTGTTGCAGCCATCAAAATAAAAATAGTTTTTTATAATTTACAAAATAAAATTAATTTGGCCAAATCACAGATTTTTTATATATTTTAGTGCAGTTCCGTAAATACTACGTTATTGTCACGTAATTGTTGTATTGTAATGTAAAATTGCGCGCCGAGTAATAATACTAGGAGATAGATTTTAATAGCAAATACTCAGAAACAGGATAAACTCAGGAGATATACACACTTCCTATTAACGCATACATTGACGAGAACGGACATAGAACGAGGGAGAACACAGGGTTTAAATAATCAGTAGAACTAACAAGACGATTGACAGAACGGGTGAACATAATTGTAACAAATTTGACACAGTAGGAAAATTAGGGCACGGGGAGAAACAAAAACAAAGAAACACAGCATACACGTTACAGTTATGACCTCAAAACACTTTTACAGTGCATGATTTGTAAACTAATGAATTTTTACATTTGCACCACATAATCCGCTCCATTTTTATGGCTTTTCCGACATAGTAAACTTGATGTGTAGCTCACAGTGTGTACAACAGTGCCGAGTACAGAAGTAACGTTTAACTGTTTTGGAATTTAAAATGTATCACTCTATTTAGCACCAATTACTAGACATTTCACTTTGACTGCTGTGAACGTGCTACAAGTACCGAATATCAGTTTTGCAACCATTTTATACTCACAGGCAGGCACTTTATATTCATGACCCTGGGCTGCTTAATTTTAGCCTGGTTCTACCAGACTCTCGTACATTTCATTTGTACAGAGAGTCTGGCCTCGCTCCATTGAGAAACGTTTACTTCCTTGTAGGCGGGTTCTCTGTTACAGTTCAAAACTATTGGATCTGCCCAGCGTCACTCAGGATCTGCCATAGCCAATCGCTAACGTGTGGTCGTGACGTATGTCATGCGCCGAAACCGGCTGGAAACAAGTCCGAATTCCATATTCATAAATCTAAATATCTAAATGCTAAACCTCTCTTTCTTATATTTGTGAAAGAATTTTAAAAATACCTCTTTTCAATTAAGTTGTCTGAGAACAAAAAAAGCCTTAAAAACATTATCTGTTTGTAATTATTTTCCTTTTTTCAGTGTCATGTAATTCTCTTAACTTGTTCATGTTTATTTTATATTATCCCCCTACTGTTTTATTTTTGTTTTGTTTTTATTATTATTTTTTGTTTGTTTTTGTATTATGTTTTCTGTTATTACTTGTGTATTGTTTTAAGCAATAAAAAAAAACAAGTCCGAATGATCAGAGGATTATGTTTAGAATAAGATGTCTGTCAACGAGAGCTGCATGTTTTGTTCATCGAATTTAAGAGTTCAAGGAACAATTCTAAATTCTAAATGTATATTTGACACTAAGGACAGTGATGTATTCAGTCAACTGTCGAAGCTGGGTGTAATCATTAACAATACGCCGCTGCGGTCGTTTCGGATCTGCCGCAAATGCTGTACAGTGATCATCGTGCACGCCGAGCTGCCCAGCACCAACTCCTAACCTTTCTGCCTCCCTCACTTGGTCCTCCATTAGTGCAACAAGAGGAGACGACAACAACTATCGGCTTTGCATCCTATCGTTCGCCTTAGCTAACTCATTCACCACTAGCGGAGTGAGCTGGAAAATTAAACTTTTCCCGAACCCCGTGGGGAGGAGGGCCACAACATCATGGCCACCAACAACACTTAGCAAACATTGATCTTGCTCCGGCTTTAACTTCTGGATATTCGGCAGTTTTGCAACAACGGACCGAATAGATTTTCTCACGTCTTTCTCCGCTGCCATTACTGAACTCCAACTCAAACTGACGCGCTACATCAACGTCATCGTTCTCAGCCACTCCCTCTGTTCGCTGATTGGACCGGTAAAAAAATTATTTCTGGAAACCAAAGTCTACAGCACAATCCCAGACGTAGTACTGAAGGAAAATAAAATTGAGCGGAAGTGCGTAGGAGGGCGGAGCCAGGCTAGCTTAATTTACCTATATCTGCAATGGAGGAATTGTTTTATTGCTTATAGCGCCTCTTGTGGTCGTGCCACCTGAAAAGTGCAGCAAAATAAACATGGAGCAACGTCTCTCAGGTTTCGCAGAAATGTAGGCAGAGTCACATATTTCCATAATTTTGTAAATATGGCATCTAACCTGACTAAGGTCTGTTGCGATATTTACTTACTCTGATGAAAAGCATTTTCTCTCCAACGCGGTAACGGCCCTGCGATTGTCGCTCTATGCAGAACTTATTTGGGCACTTACAAGGTGGATCTTCAGAAATGTGCTTCACCTGGAACACACATTACATGTAAAATGACAGAAAACTGTACATTCTCATTCTAGAGGAAAAAGTAAAAGTCAGAGTTAAAGTTACTGTGGTACCGATAACAATAGTGATATCTGAGAAAGAGAAATGTTACTCACAGCATCATCCAGTAGCTTGCCGGTACTTTTTTTGCTGGAGTTGGTCTTGTTGAATGGAGAGATAGATAACGAGATGGACGGAGAAACGGATGGAGATTGAGAATTGGAAGCGGGAGGTACAGGAGACAGTGGAGGTTCAGGTCTCTTCTCTTCCTGTTCAATCTCTTTCTCCAGCTTTATAAGACCAGGTGGCTCTACCTTATACCTGTCACAAGAGTGACCATTCACACTTTATGGTTTGATTACATGTACAACAAAATTGTGATTTTGAAACATACAATGCAAAATTGCTTATTAACAAAAAACAAAGCAATAGAGCCATGGAACCACAAGATTCTTTGAATGGGTTTGGCCAAATTAATTTGCCATTACTTGTAAGATTTAATACTAAATTATATACTTTTTTATATTATATGGGATTAAATACAATTATATACATTATATAAGTCAATGGGAACCAAAACTGTTTGGTTACCAACATTCTTCAAAATATCTAATACACTGCAAAAAAAAAGATTTTTGTATTTTTATTTAGTACAAAAATTTATAGGCTAAACATTCTAACAATTAAGATACATTTACTTAAGAAGCTAAATGAAAAGATAAGTCTTGTTTAATTACAAACTGATTAAAATTAAGTGAGTTTATGCTTAAAACTAGATAAAATATCTGCCAATGAGGTCAGAGAAATAAACTTGTTTAAATTTGCATGTCAAGTAAATGTATCTTGATTTAGGAATGATTAGAAAACAAGACATCAAAAAAGAACCAAATTTTGCATTGTTTCGTGTTTCACCAAATAACCAGTCAAAACGTTTGGAGCGACATGAGAGTGTGAGTGATGAAAGGATAAAATAAAAAAAATGTTGTGGACTACCTGGATGCTATTCTTCCCAGCTCCAGCAGGCACAGACACACTTCTCTTGGCTGTTTGTGTAACACTAGAAGAACATACAAATAAAAACATGAGACATAAAAACAGACACTGTATTTTGTGCTAACATACTGTACAAATCAAAGAACTACTGAAAACATCAACATGGATGAATGATGAAACCAAGACCACAGAATGACACGGAGATGATGCATTAGTAATTCATTACACTATTACACTCAGCTAATGTTCTCAGCGTGAGACTCTCAGTGTGTTTTTAGCATGAAGTGATTGAACAACACGCCATGCTTTTCTACATTTCCCATGATACAGTGAGGTTGAGTGATGGCAACACAAAACAACATGCATTAAAATCCGTAATCTCCACATCAAACCTCAGAACATCCCACCTGAACATAACGCATCCATGTTTTCATTTAGCTATTTCTGAGGGGGAAGGGAAGAAAAAAGTAATTAAGTATTTTTTTCTCTTTCAAATGTGTTTTTTCTTTTTCATTTTGAATATGGCTGAATAACCCTTAATTTACCACATCATGCACCACACTTGCTAATATGCTCATTTGAAGATTAGCCAGTGTTTGGTACACAGAACAGATTTACAGCAACACACACTTCACAAATCTGTTCCTGCACTGGTTTGCATTTCAAATCTTAAGGGCATCCAAGTCGATTTTTATGAATTTTCAAATGAAAGTGAGGTTAGGACAGCTTTTCATAATTAAAGGTGCAATGTGTAAAACATTTGAGTATCTATTAACAGAAATGCAATATGACATCCATAACTATGTGTTCAGTGGTGTATAAAGAACTTACTTAATAAACCGTAATGTTTTTATTACCTTAGAATGAGGCATTTATATCTCCATAACCGCAGGCACCCCCTTCTATGAAGGTCGACATATTAGCCGACAGCAAACACACAGCGCTACAGAGCGCGTTTCGTCACTACATTGAAAGAGAAGCCGCAGAAAGCTAGAAGCTAGCCATAAAGACCGTGAGTAGTGACTTTTCCCTTGTCAGTGGTGTAATCCAACTAAAATATGTAGTTGGATTGTTTCATGTAACTCAGTTCTTCTCCCTCGCTGTGTTATGGCTTTGCTATGTGGGGATAAATGTGCTGGTTACGTTCGTGAGACAGCTGATTAGTACTCTTGTCATTGACCGTAAAACAGTATGTAACAGGAATCACCAACCCGTCGATCGCGGTCGACAAGTCGATCTTCGAAGCATTTTAAGTCGATCGAGTTTCCAAAATCAGAGAAAAAAAGCCTATTGTGTGTAGTAAATGGTGTCTAGGGGATGCGGAGGCGCGCGCGCTGTTACAATCACGTCATTTTTGCTGCGCGAACCTTTGCGCTCAAGCGGACGTGTCGAGTTTAAACAAGGCTTTACGCTCTCAGCTCAGCCACAGTAACAGCTCATATTAGCCAGCTAAACTTTTACTACCCTGTTAGAAAAAATATGTAGTTGGATAGTTTCATGTGGTTCTTCTCCCTCGCTGTATTATGGGTTTGCTATGTGGGGAGAAATGTGCTGGTTAAGTTTGTGAGACAATCAGCTGATTACTATTATTATATTATATATTAAGACCCTTCATCCTCACCTGACAATTGTTTTGTAAACTTTATCCATGATGTGGTTTATAATGGACTGTGGTACAGAAACAGTGACAATGTTACACACTCTTGGTTTACTCTGGCTATTCTCTGCTGTCTCAGACGACGATGTTTGTCCCGTTTTAGCCACCGTAGCTTCTTCGAAAGGGAGGGGTGAGCAGTGGGCTGAGCCCTTAGTGCAAACTCGCAACCGAACCGCTAGATGTCGCTAAAAATCACACACTGCACCTTTAAAGCAACACCAAGTAACTTTTCCTCTGCGGTCGCCCTACAGGTTGGAAGCGGAATTGTCCATTACCGCTGTCGTAAATAATTTAGCCTAGCGCAGCCTACTGTCGCACGCACGCTCGTTGTTTATCCAGCACCGGCTTTGGAATGAACGATGTCCACAGACAAGGTAGAGTATGTTGCATGATTTCATGAAAGTATGATGTATTGCGACATCAGAAACGAAGAAAAACTAAATAATGACTATTGTAACGCTTGACGTAAAGCAAGTCAAATTTGTAGTTTTCTTATGTCTCATTAGAACTACAGAAACGCAACCCGATCTGGCAATCTTATAGCGTGGTTATAGCAGATATAGGACCGCAAAGCGAATCCAGAAGTGCCTTTCACCCTGTTACGACTTAATGAACCACTGAAACTATTTGGAAACATTATTTTAAGGTAAAAAATCTTACTTAGTGTTGCTTTAAGTTTTGACAAATACATCTACATTCGATCTCTGCGTCATGTACACACAACACACACAGCACACACTCTCTGCACATTCTCTCGAGTGCAACTCCAGTGGGAAGAGAACCCATTCTTTCTGCATTCAGAAAACTCAGTTCTGCTGCCCTTCTGTACTCCAGATGACCCGATCCTGTTTTCCTCTCTCGTTCTTTATGTAGTTTCAGCAGACTTGCTATTCTCTCCAGCTGTCTTGGACATGTGTTGAAAGCAAAGGATAAATAATCTATTCAAACACTCTACCTGAATCCTTCAATGTCTGTATGTCTGGATCTGGCACATGACAGATATGTCTAGTCCTCATACATATCATAAGCTGCAGCAAAAGAAGACGACACACTTTCTTCCTTCATATAAAATTCCCACTATCAGTTTGTGCCTAGAATACCATCCTTTTGAGAAATGTAGTGAGAGGAAACACAACATTGCAGCCAGAGACACAACTATCATCTTTATCTGACCCTCACCTCACCAATTCAAATCATCAGCCTCACAAGTTTGATTTTAGGGACTTTTATGTTTTATGTACAGCAAAACAACCTAATCATCACCCAAAAGAATGGTTTTTTTTTTCTTCAAATATTTCATTAATTATGGGTGCTTTTAGCATAGCAGATCTAGTCCAAGGTTGATATGCTAAAACTATTCAGAGAGTTGTCATGATTAAACTGTGTAAATAACAAAATATCATAGAATAATTATGTTTTTTTGTTTTTTTTCCTGAGATATCATGAGCTTACACCCCAATGTCATTTTCAAAAAGGCCAGCTAATGTCATTTTGTGAATCTTAAATACAAAGAATCAATTAATATGTTCACTTTTAAAACTACAAATTACAAAATTATAAATTGAATTGAAGTGGCATAAAAACAAAATCTGTAATATTTACCTTTTTATCACGTCTAATAAAGTTGACCTTGATAAAACCTTGAAACCTTGATTTTTTCCTCCCAAGCATGCTTGTCACTTAAGTGTTAAGTGACAACATGAAAGTGACAAGCATATTAGGTGAACGTGGCCATACATCAGAGTGTGTCAGTTATAATATTTACCACTTTATGAGGACATTTTACTGAAAATCACACTGTTCATCATTGACATCTCCTGTTCATCACCACATGAACCATGGTCCATACCATTGTGCACTTTTTCAAGGGGACTTGGGTTCAGTCTCTCTTAACAGGCTTAACAGGCTTAACTGTATTAAATAAATGTTGAAGGGGACCTATTATGATTTTTTTAACCTTTCCTTTAGTGTGTAATACAACCTCAACAAACTCGTCTCCATACCGGCGTGATGACTCCGACCTCCAACCAGATACATATTGTGAATGTTCTGATCCAATCTGACTTCTGACCTGTAATGCTGCCTGGATCATAATCATACACTGTTCGCTCATTGGCCTGAGGAGAACTGAGTGACTGAGCCTGGGTTCTCCAAAGGTTTTTTTCTCCATTCTGTCTCCTGATGGAGTTTTGGTTCCTTGCCAAAGGTGACTTGACTTGACTTGTAATATAGCTGTTTGTGCATGTAAACAATCTGCAAAGTTACAAAGTACAAAGTCTACGCCAAAGGGAGTGAAACTCAAATCCAGCAGAAACCCCCTGCAACACCTTGTTTGTAGTCTTGCCATTATTTCCATTATGTAGCGACATCTCCATGTAACACATTTGGTTAAGTCAAGGCATTACATTTGTGGCCCACGCTCTAAGCGGAAGACCATTCACAACAGACTTGGCCAACTGACCAATCAGAGCAGACGACGCTTTTCGGAAGGCGGGTTTAAAAGAAACCTAAACTAAAACAGAGCATTCAGACAGAGGGTGAAAACAGGTGCTGCAGCAATGTAACTTGTAAGGAAAAGTTCTATTTGGACATTAAATCATGTTAACCTATAATAGCAGACCCCCTGAACAAAATTATGAACTTGTAAATGACCATAATAAGGACTTTTTTTTAACAATTTGATGTGAAGATGCACAAAATAAAATAAAATGTGATTTTGTGCCTGATGCCTTGTGCAAGTCCAACATGGTCTCTCGCTGCATTTACTCTACAAATACAGAGATGCCGTTGTTGTAATAAATCAGACTTAAAGTCCTTACGGGGCAGATTTAAAAAAGGCAGAGATTATTCACTCATAAATCTTTGTTGCAGTGTTAGAGATAGATTTGTTTAAAAGACTCACCAAGCCCATCTGACTCGAACAGACAGGTGTCACCTACGCCCACCTCTCGACACCATGACAGGAAGTTGGCTGTGTTATCCCTGGCGAAAAAGGAACCAGACGCGGCATTGGCTCGGCAAGGAATCCTGCGACTGGGGATCGACTGAAAGACAGAATTTGCTCAATTTGTTACTCAATGGCGTTGTAGATGGACATTTGCATTTAAATTGTCTTACATGCGAGAGGAATGGCCTTGAAGAGAAGTCTGGCTTAAATCTAAACACGCCAAACATTCTAAGGCCAAAAACATATGAATGTTCTTCCAAACCCGCAAAACTTGCATTCATTTTCAGAACACAAATGAAGCAAGCATATTTGAGCTTTCATGTTTACCATATTTGACGAGCTATGTATGTGTGTTGATCAATGTATACAAGTGAATGAAAGCCTAAATTAAATCTGTTCATCATTTAAAGCCATCATGTCTCTTTAGAAGACTATTTTCGATATCGATTCATATGGATTACTTTTACAATGTCTTTTGGGATTTTTTAAAGCATAGAAGTTTTGGTTGTATGAATCTTCAATGGATGGGCAAAAATCATGAGTGAATATCTTCATTTGAGTTTCGAAGCAAAAAAAAAAAAAAAAGGCTTACGGGTTTGGAATGAAATAAGGGTGAGTACTGTAAATGATGAAATAAAATTCATTTTGGGATGAACTAACTGCAAGTACGCAAATGCAGCTTGGTCAGCGCACATAGGCCTACTTGCATTTGGTTATGAATTGCGCGGCAACACATTCTGCAATGCAATGATGCATGTCGATCTTCCAGTGCTAGAAGCTACCGTAATAACCAAATGCAAGTATGCTAGCCAAGCGTTCACAAGCGATCACAGCTGTGTTTGAATACTTGTGTAAAGTATGTTTCTAACCTAACTCATCTAAACATTCAAAAACATAGTTAGCTGCCTTGCTATCTAGAGTAAACATGGCAGCTATACCTTCTGAGGAAGCCTTTCGAATTCAAAGAAAACTTCTTAAGTGAGTGATTTAAATGCATCAATTCATGTGAAGAGTCAACTCACAATTGTTTCCAATACCAATAGAGTTAGCATGTTGTTAAGCTAACGACTCAAAACTTTAAGAAGCATAAGAGAAAAAAAAGTTGGTAACAATGGGCAGTTTGTTGGCAAGCAGTTATGGCAAAACTGGCCACAACAGTTGTCAAGAATTCAGTCATTATGTATGTTAAATGTTAAAGGATCAGGGAAAAAGGAGGCGTAAACCGCTGAACGTTTCACACTTAAATCATATAAAATAAACAAAGAACAAAACGAAAGTAAAAACGGCAGTCCCTCACTGACGACTGACTCACATACATAAACAAAACATAAATAGTCCAGGCCTGGTCCTCTCTCACCCTTCACTGTCGTCGCTCCTCCTTTTATGCTTCCGCTCCTCCGTGAGAGATACGAGAGCGGTGCGTCACGCGGGTGTCGCTCATTATCAATCACGCCACCGGCCTCTCACGGCTCTCGGCCCCGCCCTGCTTGCCACAATGTACCCATCATAATGTTCAAATCTCAAATGCCCATATTATTTTTAGGTGAAACCCATCCATCTATTTCCAAACTGCTTGTCCAATGTAGGGTCTTTTGGTCAAACTATTTCTTCAAAATGCTGAGTAGGCAGCTCACTAATATGACTAGAGCTCTGCTTCAACCTAAAGTACAGCAAACCATAGATTCTGTTTACATGTTAAGACAAAACCACATGCTCTATGTGTGGGGTAAACAGGTATTTTTTGGTTAAAAGTAATAATTTCACTGGCCATGAGTTTAGAGAAGTTTTAGGAACTCTCACATTTCCCATCTCTCCCCCTGCATTTCCTTTCTTATTCCCTACAGTTTTCCATTTCCGCCACAGTCTCTCTTCGTGCTTTAGCCGGCAGACGTCACCCACTAACCATGAACAGTTTGTGATCTCTCTTGTTTTTTGTCTGTTTCTCTCACTCACTCTTCCCCCGCAGGGGTCCGGATTGCAGGCTTCTAATATCACATATGCTTTCACAAACATAATCCCCCGTTCTCTAATCAATAATCAATAAGGGTGAGAGTGACAGTGATAGATAAATGCATGCACAAGGAGATGGTGGAGGTCAAATAACATATGAATGTCAATGGGAGATTTACCCAGTGTATAGTTTCATTCAGCACACTAAGAAAGGTTAGATGAGGTCATGCTGGAAGAATGTAGTTGCTGGAATGGATTGTTTTCTCTCGCTTTTCCAGAACATTCTCAATCTTCCCCAATGACTAGTTATTAAAGTATTAGTTAATCTTGTAAAGTAATCTTTGATGACTGGAATGACGGGAAGAACTACAACAAAAACAAAACCAGCTAAAAACAAAAGTGTACCCCGTTTCATTTCTTAATAAATGTTTGGGCCCCTACACCATTGCTGAAAAATTGGGATCTGTGGGCAATCATTTGGGAATTATGGGATTATGAGATTGTTTCTGAGGGATAGTTCGCCCAAACAGGAAAATTATGTCATCATTTACTCGCCCTCAAGTTGTTCCAAAGCTGTATGAGTTTCTTTGTTATGTGGAACACAAGAAAAGATATTATGAAGAATGTTTGTAACCAAACATCTGTGGGCCATTTTAGTTTCATAAAAGTAAACATTTTAATTTCCCTTTAAAGGGATACTCCACCCAGAAATAAAAATCCTCTCATCATTTACTCTCATGCCATACCAGATGTATATGACTTTCTTAAGAAAAACACAACATTTTAAAACAATCTATCTGTGAATGGGCGCCAAAATTTTGATACAGCCATCATGATGGTAATCCATTTGACCCCGGTGGATGAATCAATGTCTTCTGAAGCGAAACGATAGGTGTGTGTAAGAAAAATACATGAATCAGTGGCATGCAGTGGTGTTTTAAAATGAGGAGGGAAAGTCCTTATAGTTTTTTTTGTATATCAAATGTAAATATATTCATTCAATTATATTTTGTATTTTTACACTATGTAATTAATGTTCTATTTATTAAAACATACATCTCATCAAGTTAGTGTTTTTACGCATTTTTACATTTATTCCAAAATAACTAACGGCAGTAACAATTTATATTTTATTTGTGAACTGATGTTCAGCTGTTCTTTTCTAGTCAACTTATTTTCATCAGTCATCAAGCTCAGTAAACATTGGCCACATGAAGATGTACCTTTATTTTACCACGCTGATTGCTCACAAAAAGAAAACATAGTCGTCATGTTTTCAAGCCATTTCAAGTTTGAATTTGATGTGACAAAGCGGTGACAAGAGGTTGAGTTGTAAACTCTAACTTTTTAATTAGTCTTCCATTCACGCCATTATTTTCTTCATCCAGAACGTTTCATGAACGCACACGAAAACAAGAGGCGGGATTTAACGCATGAACCAATCATATCGAAATATAACCATAGACAGTATAAGAAATGGACAGAGCCATCTCATTGGAACTCAGTTGAGACAGTTGAAGCCCATTTTTAGCGATTTTTTAGCACTTCCGTTCCTGACGCGCAGACTCAAACCGACTCAAACTAAGCTTGATGACGTGAGCAACCTGTCTGACAGACGTTACTCTTCTAGTAGCTGTGGGTGAAAATTGCCAACGTTAATCTTGCAGAGACGGGGAACTTGAGCAAAGAGTCCTTTATCGTGAGTGAGCAGGAGTAAGTATTCCGTTGCTTTTATGGACTCATTATCTATGGGCTTCTCCCTTGACGGGACGTCCCGCCGATTGCCTGCGAGCTTCTCCTCCTGTCTGTACGGTAATTTCTGTACAGCGCGACAGAGAGTCGAGTGGTTATGACGCAATCGTTAGCCTATTTTTACTAAAACTGTTTCTACGGGGCCATAATGTAACATAGAAGGTAATGGAGCCCTTTATACATTGTCGTGTTTCTTTAGAAATAAATAATGGACAAATGGAGTCTTTAAACGCCTCAGATGTAAAGTTATTCGCTGTCAAAGTGACGCCAAAATGAATGGTAGTCAATGGAAATGCTAACGCAAGTGAAGGTCTGCTACAAGATGGCGGTACCCGGCCGGCTTCAACTTCCGGTCGATGGATTACCCCCTTGAATATAACCCATCATATCCAATCATAAGCCCCTTTCACACAGCGCTTTGAACCCGGCAAATTGCCAGAGTGCCTTCTGTGTGAACGCAAACACGACCCGGGATTGATGCCGGGTTGGGGACCTAGTAACATTGCCGTGTTCAGACCCGGAACGCGCGCTGTGTGAACAAAAGCCAGAACCAATGCCGTATAAGGGGTGTGTCGTAGTGATGATTCACGAGCCTTTGCAATGACGTATAGTTATCGTGCGACTCAGTTACTCTAGAAGAAAGTTTGTGTTCGTCATCGATACAAGAAAGAACGAAAAAATGTCTGCAAACTGGACTGAAGCAGAGACCCGTCACATCCAACGTCAAGCGTCTTTCCGGAACATACACGGGTTGTGTGTGAACGCGCTCTCTGATTCCGGCAAATCACTGGCAGTGTGAATGAAGCAAAATCAAACAAATCCCGGGTCACTTTATCCATGTATTTTCCGGAATCTCTGTGTGAAAGGGGCTATAGAGTGAGGGAAGCATTGCATCCTCTCACGTGACTTTCCCCCATTCATTCTCGCCACACGATTTGGAGGGTCTGTTAAAAGTCAATGGGCAAGCCTCCCACTGTAACTTTACCTGCTGGTGCCGCTGTTTTGTTACTTTAGAAAACGCAGTAAATAATGGCACAAACACCAGTAAATTGACTAGCACAAACCTTAGTAAATCACCTTGCATGATTCATTTAAATATTCTCCTCCCATAAGTTTTGCGTCTGAAACTACAAATGCATATGCAATAAGATCAGCCGCAATAACTGTCCACGACTTTTCAGCGCAAATTCTTCACTGCGTATCTTTAGTAAATCCTAACAGTAGTTTTTTAACGCCAAATGAGGGTTTGCGTTACAACATGCTTCAGAGAACACTTATGTGACGCGTCACAATGTGCTTACGTTTAAAAAGTTTAATATATTGGTATATTTCTTACACACACCTATTGTTTTGCTTCAGAAGACATTTACACACAAACAAACTCTCTCTTTCACA